TTTTCTTAGAAAAGTATGAGTATCATGAATACCAATATCAAGAAACAAAAATCTTTTATTTATAGTTACTACTTTTTTTAGCTAGCATTTAAATTATTTTCTCCATAAGAACTTGGTAATCATAAATAATGATTTCATATAATCATAATATGGACCACAAACTTTAATAATGACGTCATAATAATAAACTTCATATGACTAAGAGTATCATAATATAATATAATTCAAATTATTCTCATCTGAAATATTTTGACAAAGTGATATGCTTCTCAATATTACAAATTCGATTGATTGGGAAAAGTATTAAGACAAATAACTTTGAAATCATTGCAACAACCAAAATAGTTAATGATTTGCAAAAAATAGGTTATGTAGTTTGTCAATCTTCTAAATAAATAACACTAAAAAGAGAATGTTCGATTCTGATCAAAATGTTTTTGAATGTTTGAGTAAGTTGTCACTTTTTAATAGAACATTTACAATCTTAATTGTGTATTGTGCTCGAGAATATGCGCAATTATTTTAGAGTATGTACTTCATGTAATATGATGATAATAAAAATAGTTTAGCATCTTTTCGAAGAAGTACATGATTTTGAAAAATCAACTTTTATTTAGAAATAAAATTCGTTCTCAACTTATATGATAGGTACCAATTTGTCTATATGGGGAGAGAGAAAGAGAAAGAGAGAGAGTAATGTAGTAGTTTATACAATGATCAAAAAAATCACGAATTTCAGTGACACGGTTGGTTATTTCACATAGATAATTATGAAATGTTAGTTGAAATATCTTATAATGATCGTTCAATTATGAAGTTTGACTATATGTTTGGCTAAAGTATTTATAAGTGTTGAATAAAGTAGACGTTTTACTAATTAATTAAGAATAATTTTGCAATACTATTGATGTATTGGACTCCAATGAGTATGAATGTCTCTTATGAGAACTCAAAACTAAAATAAAAAAAAAATGACTCTCGAACATTATAAATAGATAAATAACTCATGCATCTATAATATACATTAGATCCTTATTTATTTATTATTATTATTATTAGGGACTTATTTTCTTATATATTTTTGTTTGAGTTTGTAACATGTTATTTAAATCCTTTTATGTTACGACATCATTATGTTGTTTTTAACAAAAAATTTATATTAAGAGTTTATTTGTTCTATATTTCATTTTGTTCTTGCAATCATATATTTAATAAATTAATTGATTTATCTTATCGGCCAAAAATATTTGTCACCACGTGCATTGCACGTGCATTGCACGTGCACTTTACTAGTCAAATCAAATGTGGAAGAAATCTTAACAACTTAAGGATGTAACAATTTACACAGTCATATTTGTAGGAAAATACAATACCCTTGGGTTCGGGAAAAGAAACAAATGAATTACTGCACTCTGTGTAAGAAGTTTATGGACAGTTGAGAGAGAAAAACTACCTTTGCAGAAATGATTATAACATTGCTGAAATCGTAAAGACCATAAACGCACATATAATGTAATAGCAGTCTACCAGAAGTCAAACAAAATTGACGACCTGCCATGTAAACTGTAAATACAAATAATGAAAAAAAAATATCAATATTACCGGGATGGAGGTAGAGTACTGCACAATCAGCTTTGTATCATCTGAGTGATCTTTATTCATGTGGGACTGGAAACAAATTTAGACGCTAGTAAATTTGGACAAGATGGATAACCAAAAAATGACAAAAAGGATCAGTTATGTGGCTGGTGTTACCGTTATAGGTTTGGAAAACTGATATATAGGATCCACCTTTGCTGTTCTAAATTCATCCTTGGTAAACTCTGCAAATATACGGATAACAAAAGACCACAAATCAACATGATCGAGTCGCATGAAAATACCATCACCATAAGATGAAGAGACCACAGTGTTCAAGTCTTAGTTAACTGGAGTTGGAAATACATAAAGCAATAGTTATGTTTATCTGCACAGTCATAGTCAGCTACAATGTCTGTTGCATTTGGCTTAAACTATAAAGGCATGAAAATGGAAAGATACATAAGAATGTAGTAAAAGAAACCACAAACCTCCTGATCCTAATAAAGCTGTTGCAACTCCTGAAACATATCTAACAACTTGAGGTTCAATACGCAGGAATTGGAAGTCACCAAAGTTAACCTGCACAAAACTTTATTGTCTGGATACATGAATAATTTCTAGTAATAATGGTCAGAGCGATGAAATGACGAAGAATAAACATGCAAGCCAAAAAGTTACCCAGAATGCATTAGGATGTTTAGACAAATATGCAGTCCGAACAGCTTCCTTATCATCTTTACTAACCTAAATTAACCACAGAAAAATCAGAAACTGCCTATTGATGCACGCTATTTAAGCAATAGGTGATGCTTACTGGTGTGGCATCACCATGAACAACAATAACTAGGTCACTCCTGTCCTCAGGATCTTTTGCTACAAGCAACGAGCATTTGGGATTAGCTAAAAGGTCCTGCATCAAAAATCAAAGCGAGTGAGGTCGTAAATATTCTCAATGCTCGATCTTGACACTAAGTTCGACAAAACTATACACTACATCTTTCGTCCAAAAGTGAATATTTATGAAATAACTATTCAAATCTGGATAGTTTACAGACCTTCGTATGAACTGCTAAACTACTAACAGCTAACAGTGGAGACCCAAAAGCATCACAAGCAAAGTCCACCATGGACCCTGATGGATACCCATTGTACTTCTGTAATAGATTAAAGGGCAAAACTTTAGCCAACAAAGGCTGAAGCAATATTCGTAAAACATGAACTCAGATTGCAACACACAAGTAGAGAGTGGAAAGAAGTGAACCAGGGACACAGTAGAGAGCACCCCGCGTGAGGTGTGACTGAGAATCGTTTTAATTTCCTCTATAGGAGGCAATCTAGCTGCTTTTTCCTGACATATTAATAACTCCATGAGTATCGTTTAACCAATGAATAAGTTCATAAACAGCAAAAATAATAGGAAAAAGAAAAGGGGCAAAAGCTATCGGAGAAAAGGGGACCTGATGAGATTGAATGAGTTGAAAGCCGTCAACTTGATCATCCTTGATCTCGAGTGGATCAGTAGGAGAAGCATCCTGTGCAGAAAAACGATAATTGATTGCTTTGAGAAAAATAGTAACTGAGAAGGAAGGATTTATGAGTCGGTTAGATATGTATATATATGTATGTATGTATAATTCATGTACACACCTGACTCTGATGATTGGTGGAGGATAGAGGAGCTGCGCGTATTCGGAGGGATGAAGAAGGAGGGTTATGGCTGTAACTAATGTGGCCACCAAAATAACTACTCCTAAAGCTAATCCCCTGAAATTGGGGAGAAATGGAAGGGTTGAAGACGGGGCGCAGCTGCTGCACCACGACCCTACAACTCCTCATCTTCTTTCTCTCTGTGTGCACTTCTCCGAATAGCTCACTCTCGAACATATTTAAAAAGTTTATGTTTTAAATTATTCTTCGAACACAGAACAAATTCGAACTTTGACGAATAATTAAACGAATGAACTCGAACTCGAACACAATTTTTTGCTCGAAAAATAAATGAACGAACACGAACACTGTTCAAACGTAAACGAACACGAACTCGAACAGCCCAAGTTCGGTTCGATTCAGTTCGTTTACTGCACTACTCTCGATTAATTTGGCAGAAAGTCGTATAGTTCCCTTTCTATTCTTTGGTCCTTGTTTTTGCTCTTAATAACAGAGTGGCCCCAACAAGCTACTATATTAGGTCCCTTTTTTTTGTCCCGACTTAAAACCAACGAGTCGTTTGCTCAACTCGACTCGTCACAAGTGTTCATAAAACATAAAATTTTCATGCAAGATTTCATTGTTCACCTCGTTAATATTGATAAACGATTTGAGATTTGTGAGTATTCTATAGCTCAGCTCATTTATGGTCTTACCACTCATTCAATTAATATTCTCCTTTCTCAAGAGTTGTACTTCTCTAGTTCTTCATATTGGGTTAACCAAGAATCTTATGCAATCTTATGCAGTGATTCTCTTCGTTCTAATTTGTTTATTTTCTTTTCGTTTGGGAATTATTTTGATATGTGATTCAAGCATATGAAAATAGAAAATTGCTAATATAAAAAAAAAAAAATGCATTTGCATAATATCACCGCAAATAGGAGCCGCCATGACATTAGAACATTCAGGTTATTGCCGCTCAAAAGCAAGAATGTGAAAAATGGGAATTTCAGATCAATCAATATGCGGAATATATATGATTCAACCAGTGTCAGATCTATAAATTTAAGAGAAGCAAGCGCAAGTATGCTCCTATTTCCTTGAAAACTCCAATGTCCCATGCTATATCAAAATCTGTACTCTAAGCTAGAGATCAGTTTGTATAAAAGCTTTAGCAAATGCAGAGTTTTTCATCCTGTGATTACTAAGCTTCCAGATATCCTTTGTCTTCCAAGTACGATACCACCTGCCCAGCCATCTCATTTGGTGTGGGGCATATTCCTTCACTCTCTTGTATCTCAATCTACAAACACCCACAAGGTCCAAATATCAGTTTCATGGACAAAACACACACACACACACACACACACAAAAAATAGGCAAAGACATGCAAAAATCAATATATCATCTAACCCACACACCTCACAATTTTCAGGAGGTTCGTAAGGATCGTCTATCCCTGTAAAACCTGCACCACAATTAAACTCCATTTCAAACACCATTCAAGTCTCGATATTCGTTGACATTGTTAAGCTATTTTATTGGGAGGTACAAAGAGAATGCACACACCTTTAATCTTCCCAGCTCGTGCAAGCTTGTAAAGGCCTTTGGGATCCCTTCCTTCACACAACGCTAGAGGCATGTTTAAGAAAACCTGAAATTTCATTTAAGATACATTACATCTATTTTCTCCTAACTAGCACATAAGATACTTCAAATTTCAAAAAAGAAATAGCAGCACAAAAAAGTCTCACCTCAATAAAATTTTCAGGCAACAATGCACGACAAGCATCACGATCTTTACGATAAGGAGATATCAGACTAGCAATGCAAATCAACCCAGCATCAGCAAAAAGCTTTGCAACTTCCCCTGACAAGAGAGAAAACCAATGAGGCGATGACTTTTGGTGAAAAATATTATCTTTACCATTTAAACTATCATGTCACAATCATCAAACAACTGTCCACATAAAGAATACAAACTAAAAGATTAAAATTAAAAGGCCCAACAACAGAAAAAGAAACGCAAGAGACTTGCCAACTTTCTTGAGATTCAGATAATAATAGTTAAAGTATTTTGTACTTACCAACCCTGCGTATATTTTCAGTCCGATCTTCTGGTGTGAAACCAAGGTTCTTGTTGAGACCATGCCTAAGGTTGTCTCCGTCAAGAATATATGAAAGTTTTCCCCGACAGTGCAATTGTCTACCCAGTGAGCACGCAAGGGTGCTTTTCCCTGTATTGATAAATCAGAAGATATTATGGACTTTCAAGGACATTATTTGATGCATCTCCATAAACTCTTGTAGTTATGCAGCCTTACTAGGAGCTTAAATTTCTATATGAAATAGTGGCATACAACTTATAAGGGCAAAATGCTGTCTTAAAATGGTGATGGCGACAGAATGAAATCAACGAGAATCTCAATTGAACAATAAGACAGCAGATGAGACATGAAAGAGCATAAATCCACAAGGAGTCATATCCTCCACTGTCCGGGGAATCGGAGAAGATAATACAGTAACAAGAAGAAATGAATTTCGAGTGTTAACCTGATCCACTTAGACCAGTGATCCATACAATACAACCTTGTTGGTTGAGCAGCTTTTGCCTATCAACCCTCCCGACAGGACATTCATGCCAGAAGATGTTGGTTGGGTTGCCCAAAGCCGACATTAGGTATGATGCCCTCTAGACTTTTCACTCTGTTCTGACACATGCATTCAAATTCACCTGACATTAGAATATACGATAAAAACCGGGATTGGGGTTGAGATATGAACAACAATAATAACTTGACTTACAAATTGTTTCGAGGGAAATGAGTAAAGACAAATTTTTTTCAGCTTTTTCATCACAAAAGTTCAGGAATTGTTTATACAATTTGTCTATTCTATTTCTACCTTTCATTCTGTACGTAATATCTTGGAATTTTCATCATAAGGGTCAATAATAGCTAAAATTATCAAAAGAATTTCCCAAACAAAAGCAACCATTGTCCAGAGAGAGGGAGACAAAAAAAAAAAAGACATATCGAACACCAGCAGAAAGAAATCACATTCTTCAATCATTCACATCTTATGCAGAAAACCCAGATACAAATTGTACTAATCAAGCGGTAATCAGCATC